GGGAGGCGGAACTGGGCAGCAGCGGAGAAGGATGCGTGAACCCTTTGAGAGACCTGCCTGGAGGTGGGATGAGAGCGGGGTGGGACAGAGGTTATGGATGGCAGAATGGCACTCTCGCTGTTCCCAGTAGACACACCAGCGTGGCTCCACGCGAGCATGAGTGTCTCCTCATCCATGCAGAAGGGGAAGTAAACAGGTCTTGGATGTAAAGGAGTCGAGTATTACTGAGCCCCAGACTGGCCTGTAGCAGGACAAACAGCGCTCTGCCTTCGGGGGGTGCCTTTATTTCTTGCTTATTCAGGTTATCTGTCCTGCAGAGAACAGGAGCTGAGGTGGCCAGTCTTGCTGAGAACTGAGCTGTGTTTGCAGGGAGTCAGATGTTCCCTGACACTTCGATGTCTAATAACTCGCTGCCCCTATAACCACAGGGCTGTGAAGTCAATTATCCTGTCTCCAAGGCTGACCAAACTCTGAACAAGGTGCAAAAAGCTATAGAGTAGGCGTCATGGAGTGACACTGAACAGCAGGGGAGAAGAGGTCTCTCCTTCGCCACAGCTGATGAAGCCCCAAAACTGTAGTTGGGGCTGGTTATTGGAGTTGATGTAGCCTCTCTTCTGACTCTGAGCAGCCCAAGCAAGGACGATGCTTCTTGTAATTGTTGTCAACCAGCTGGACAAGTGACTCTTATTCCTACGTATTATTCTTTAAAAAAACAAAACAAAATCAAACCATAATCCTTTAAAAAAAAAAAATCGAAAGGTTTATTTCTTTAGAGGCTGTTTGTCACACATGCTGCTAGAACAGTCATGGTGCTGAGGGGATTAAATCCAGTACAGATGAGAAGTTTCACTGACATTTTATTTGGAACAAAGAACTTGTGGCTGAAAATCTTCACTATAAGAATGATGGTTCAGAACCAGGGATTCTGATTTTTCAGACCTGTAGCAAAGAGCATCTTTTGTGATTTAAAAACTCAGATATGTTTCCTAAGTACCTTGCTGTTTTGCTGAGTAAATTTAAGAAAAGCTGTTTGCGCTCCTATCATGAATGTTTATGTGATGGATCTTGTGTGTAGAGGGCATCTGCGCATAATGCAAATGCATTTAAGTCTCTTTCTCCTCTGATAAACACTGAATTTTGATTGCTCATTAATGCAAAACCTTCAAATTTTTGTTTCAAGCTACCAATTAATGGTCTTGTGGGGTTTTTTAATTGTTTGTATCAAGGACAGGCGAATATGTAAGCTACAAAAAAGCCAGAGTTGTTAGCACATTAGTGTAAATATACTTCACAGAGGCCCTTCTGTGCTTGGTTACAACCAAGCTTTCTGATTCCTCATCAGGGACAGCCAAACAGGCTTCTGGATGCTGAAGGCTCAGGCTATTCTTCTTAGGCAGTTGGCTAGACTGTTAATTAGAGCTACACCAGGTTTCTGCTGATCCCTGCCTGTACCTCATCTACTTGTCTTCTAATGAGTTTGTGGTCTACCTGGAAATCTTGCAAACAACTTGGGGTGGGGAGGGAGGAGGGAAAGCAATCTTTGTCAATTATTTTCTCCTTCATTAGATAAACATCTTGCACATACAAACCTGAAATGCCTAATTACCTAAGGTTTGTGGTGTTTTAAACTGATGTAAGGGCAGCTACTGTAAATGCTGAAGAAACTGAGCTCAGATTTTGCAGTTTGATTAATTTTATTAATGCTGAACTATCTGAAGGAGGAGGGGGGCTTTCACTGAAGCTAGCGGAAAACGTGGCATGAGTCAAGAAAATTAAGCCAGTTTATAGCTGTGTAAAAAGTGAACATAACCTGAGGAAAAAAAAAAAATCACTTCAAGGTGATATTATAAAGGTTCAAATAGATTTGGAGAAATGCAACTAAACACCTTTAAGGGGAGATGACATGCTCTGTACCTGTACAGTAAAACAGAGTGAGGAATCGATCAGTGACTCACATAGAGATGAATCACATCTCTGCATCTCACCACATGGCTACCAGGGCAAGGTTATGAATAAACTTTACATACCACGAAATATAGCATGCCTTTCCCCCACACACACTCGCTTTGATAACCTGAGAAGGCAGACACCTAAGTATGTACTAATGAATATGCGAATTCCCTTCCTGAGGAGGTAAGTGTGCACCAGAGAACAGGTTATGACTAAGCAAATGCATGTAGCCCTTTGGGGTTCTGTACCTCCTGCAGCCTCTGGTTAAGGTATAAATAGGGGCCCACCCCCCCACACTGGGGGTTTGCAGGCAGAATGATGAAATCATCAAACCAGAATTAGTAAATTTCATAGGTTTTTGGACAATAGCACGGTTTACCTTTAACACAGATAAACTCTGTGGGCTGAGTCCAGTTCCTCACTGAGCCGAGGCACTGAGAAGGTACCAGGGCAGGTTTTGGAAGCTTCCCTGGGGGCTGCTTCCAAGGACAGCCTGGGTGTACATCCTCAGAGCGAACTCCTTGCTCTGAGCCATTGTCAAATTTAATTTCTTTCAAAATTATTCTGTGTGTCTTGCAGTTGCTTACTGCCTGGTCACAGTTTCATGCTCTAAGCCAAAATGAGCGCTAGTTAAACACAGAGCAGAAAATAGAAGATGAGATTTGGGAGATAGTCGAACCTGGGGATGCAGGTGTAAAACAGTAACTCTGTGAGCCTGTGAACTAAAGAAGCCCAACCTGTGGATTTGTTTCCTTTTGTTGGTTGCAGGATCTGAGAAGTTACTATTACTGATTTAGGTCTTTCTCCTAATGAGGCATGAAAAAAGTCTCTCTCCTGTGGATCCTTTGGTGCTGAAAAAAAAGATAAACATTGCATTTAAGCTTTTTTTCCCCAGCTAAGGTATACTTAAGGTCTCTCTTTTACCTGGCTAACTATTTTCGTGACGTTCTAAAGAACATACCTTTGAGAGCATTTCCCCTCAGTCAAATTTGATCAAAAGTCAGTAGTTACAATGAGCATATACATGTGCGTGTGTGGAGAGTGATGATATAATAAGCCTTGTGTCCTTAGGGAATCAGGCTAAAATAAAGCAACTATCATGTCTCTCTGAATAAACAGAACAATAGTGTTGCTGCTGAGACCTTCCCCACTTGAAGAAGTACAGTTAGGCGCAGCTGGTTTAGCTGTTCAGCAGCTAAGTGAGGATGTGGTGTCAGTGAATACGAGAATGTTCTGTGATGGATTTACCAACAGCAGGAGGAGAAATGGTCACTCAGGTGTTGTCCACCTCATTCTGGTACTTCTTGTCAAGAGCAGGAGGACTATTTCTCAGGCAGTGTGCAATGCCTCACCGTGATCAGCCAATGGACTACCCTGTCGTGAAATGAATGCACAAGTTTCAAGGAAAACAATCCCTTTTTCCAGAGGATTGGTGGAGAAACAGCAAGATTCCTGCTGTATAATCTCTCCACTGGGACATTCACAGTGTGTTACAGCTGTGGATAGTCTCATGGCAGTGCAATAGGCAAAGCCTTTTAAGCAAGCTGCAGGGAGCATATTTACAAGTGCTTTCCTCCTACAGAGAGCCTCTGTGATATTCTGGTGCAGAACAACAGGCGATCATTGATGTTTTCCCCTTTCATAGACTGGCTAGCATGTGTTCTGGAAGGGCCAACGCTGTCTTGCATGCAGCAAAAACAAAGCTGCATGTATGGGAATGATGGACAGGAGGATTTTAAAGAAGAGTAGTTTCCCACCCCACTGCACCTTGTGTGTTTTCTGGGATTGTGGTGATGTGCTGTGTCTGATCACAGACTGGCTCTGTGCTCCTGTAAGAGTGCTTTACACTAATTTATTTTACTCTTCCAACTACCTATATGATTGATAAGTCCTTTAGGGTCTTTTTCTCTAGAGAAGAGAAACTTAAATCACATTTTAAACCGGTGGCAGTTAATGCTTTCTTAAGTGTGGGTTTTGGGGGACTAAAGGACCATTCATTTCAGAACTGCTACCCGTAACAGTAACTAGCAGACAACACCCTATGCAGAACATGCGCTTTGAAGGTAAGGCCTTCTGCCTCGCTGCAGCTCTTTCACAGAGTTGCCATTTGCAAAAAGATGGATGAAATGTGTTTGTTCAAATGATAGATACCTCCTGATACCTGAGAAACGTTAAGAACACAACTTCCTTCCTTGGTTTAGAAGACAGGTCCAGAGGGAACGGACTGGCTGCAGGACTGCTGATCAGATGTAGAAATACTCCTCAGTTTAAGAGCAGACACCCAAAATGTAGGAATAAATGTCGTTGGCATCCAACAGATGGTAGTTGACATGTTTTCCAGCTGTCACAAGTCTTTCAAAATTCTTCTGTTGTATATGCCAGAGTTTCACCTTAGCGCTGCCAGGCTGAACATAGAAATGACAGTGCAGGTGAAGGTATGCTACAGCACTCTATAGTTGAAGAGAATTAAGTTGAACCAACAGAAGACCATTAGTAAATCTTGAATTAGTATGTCCACCTCAGACATCGTGATTGGGATATTCCACATAAAATTTACTTTGTAGAATAATTTTCATTGCATCATGTCTTTAATTGTTGTCTCTAACCCCAGGTAAGAACTGAGTCACCTGCAACATCTATCTCAAGGTCACTTTTCTGACTGTGTCATGAAATTGCAACACTTAAATGTCTTTTGCCTGGTACAGTCCTGGACTGTTTTCTATTGCCTCTGCTTTGAAGTGTCAGCTTTCAGTGAACTCTGCTAACGTCTTATTACTGCATGGAGGCTGAGGCAGAGAAGAGCAATTAAAGGGTTGACATCTTTGGTATTTTTTTAATAGTACATGTCAAAATGCATTTAACAAATCACAGTTGATGCAAAAGCCCAATTATTGCTAAAATCTAAGTAGAGTTAATTTCAGTTGGGAGAAAATGAGAATTTTAAAACATATAACAAAAAGTGGTTGCCTTATTTTAGATACAGGACTGAACTCCAACTCCTGTTTTTGAGAACTGAAGTCTTACAGCCTAAATATTCCTTTCTGTTCCAGGACACAGCTGGACAAGAAAGATACCGGACCATCACTACAGCCTACTATCGAGGAGCCATGGGGTTTGTCCTCATGTATGATATCACCAGCGAAGACTCCTTCAATGCAGTGCAGGACTGGTATGAAATACTGTTGTTGGGTTGGTTTGGTTTTGGCCAATCTATTCTCAGAATTGTTTGTTGAGAACATTAGACATCCCACCCCCAATAATGCTTTGCATCATCATATTCCTTTCTCTTCATCTAAACAATTTGGTTTTTAAACTCTCCTTAGAAGGTCAGTTTACTTAATGAAAAAGTTATAATTCCAATATAGTAGCATACTATAGTAGCTGTTGCTTTTAAATGTTCTAATTTATGGTAAATAAATTAATCCTTTAACATTATTTGGGCTTACAAGATTTCTGGCTATGCTGCTGAAACAATCCAGTTTAACAGTGGTTGTTTGAGTCAAATCACATTTAAAATCTAATAAGGCTAAATCTTTACAAACTGCTTTAAAAAGTTGTGGGTTTTTGGAACCTACAAGTGTAGACACATGGAACAGTATTCACCTTGCCTAACTTGAGTTAATTAAAAGTCTAACTTTACCAAATTAAAACTTACAAAGTTTAAATGAGTTGTAGTTGTAATAAGAGGAGGAAGAACAAGGTCTAGGACAGAAAGCAAGCATACTCCTTGGAAGCGGCCTGTCACCACTGGCTACAGAAAGCCCTGAACAGCTCCGTAAGGCAGTGCTCAGTGTGGGATGGGGGAGAAGGAGTTACCTATTAAGTGGGAAGGGTGGGGACTTAGCCCTAAACTAGTATGAAACAGATTCTCAGCTGTTATAAGCCCCCCTGGCTCCACTGAATTCAGTACAAACACAGAAACACCAGAAAATTATTTCTGGACTTTCCGATGACGAGAAGCCAGGAAACATTTTTGGCTTACAGTGAAAAAAGAAAGCATCAGGTCAGTCACTTTAAAAGCTTGATGGCAGTATCAAAGCTGCATTGGTACACTGGCTCATCTCCCTGATATTTGGTTTGCACTTCCCCTTCCCCACCTGGAGGCTCCCCTTGTAGCTCTTGCCACTTCTCTTCTTTCTCCCATCTCGCCCCACACTGTAATCTGATTCTGGAAGCGGAGCTGTGGCCCAGACCCTCTCCCTGCTCCCCTGCCTTCCAGAGAAGTACATGTACAGAGCAGGAGGAGTAGTGGTCTTCCCTGGAGAGCCAGAGTACAGGTCATTGCTGTGGCCATGGGCAGTGCCTGCAGCCCCCTCCATGGTAGCTGGTGAGAGGTGTTTTCTCAGCGGGGACCCAGCACAGTGCCTGGGGTGAAAACATCTGAGCTGCTGCTGTGAGGTTGTGGCCACAGGCACAGCACAGATAAGCAGAAGGCTGGACTGTGTTGGTGGAGCTCACGTTCTGACATGGCGTCCTCTCAAAGGGATGCCAGACTTTGTGTAGGAAATACGGGGCGTGGGGAGGCAGGGGAAAGGCTGTGTTAATCCTCAGAAGTAGTACCCCTGTGGCTGCCCTCAAATGTCTTGCAATTATTTCTGCTTGTTACCCTGTTGTTGTGTGCTGCAGGTAGGTACAGTCAGTGTGCAAAGACAGACAATGCAGTGGTTAATGTAATCTCCCAAGTCTGTTAGATCGATTTGTGATCTCGGTGACCTACTGGCAGTCCGTGACATATGCTGGCTATTGTACTGGCTCTTAGCATCCAGCTCAGTCGGGCTTTTTGTTGGACACCTATTCTATATCCCCTAATCTAGGTTGTAAGTCAAAAACTGCAACAACGTGGCTTGTTGTTTCTAGTAAATCGGTGTTCTTCCAAGGCTGCCCATTATTTGTTCTTGCTGTCCACTGAAGCAGTTGATCATGATCTTCACATCTAAAGGTGTAGTGTCTACTTTCACCCCATCTCCAGCATCATGACACCATGCTGCAGAAGGTGAACTGCCACACCTTCCCTGAGCTGTCCTTCAGCAGCTGATGATAGGGGAATACATTTGTTCCTCAAAACACAAACCCAAAGGTTTTGCTAAAACCAGGTTTCTCCACGTGGCACACCTTCCACCAAGCTCAGATGAAGCTTTCTCTGCAAGTGTCTGCACAGAGATTTTCTTTCCATAAGAGTGCAGGCATGTGAGCTATGGCAGTATCTTTCACTAAACTATAAATATTTTCAGCTTGGTTCCCTGATGAAACAAGGTATATATGACCACACAGTTCCTTTACCTGTCTGACTGTTGGTTCTGCTCTAGTAAGTTTTTATTTACCATTCTTAACCAAAAATAACAAATCTCAGTCTCTGAGCTACTACTATTTTAAAGTTTGTACAGGTGAAGATTAACCTGAAGCTTTGTACTGGAAGTGGTCTAAGCTCTGTTCCATCAAAGGCAATGGTGCAAGACTAAGAATTAGGAAAGGTCAGCTTCATGTCTTCCTGTACCATGGGGGCTGAAAGAATGTCATTGCTAAGAGCACCTTGTCAGCCAAAGAACAGAGGTGAACCATCAGTTTATTTTTACTCTGGATGTCAAGAATCTTTCCAACCATTTTTAAGATTCTGACCCCAACTGATGTAGTGTGGCAGATAAAATCGGCCTGTGGTACCCCGTTTCCTTTATTTCTGAAGCTTGTCCTCAGAAGAGATGACTGTAGCAAAGCCAGCATCGCTGTGCCAGCAGAGTCCTCTAGTGGCGATGCAGCTAAGAGGTGGATTTTTTCCCCGTTTGCAAAATTGCTTTCTGAACTTCCGAAGGGACAAGAAATGGAAAGAAAAAAAACCCCAAACTTGTCTGGTGCTGCTGTATCAGCCTCTGCCATTTGCTAGCATAGCAAGTAGGTAGGATTTTTTTGGTGTTTTTTGCCATGCTAGGTGATATGCTTAAACAAAACCAATTACACTGGATCAGGTCTTCAGTCAGGAACTGTACTCTCAATGGAAAACCAAGTTGTCTGCTGCTTGAGCTCCTTTAGCTCAGAGTCTTTATCTCCATGAGCCTAGTCCTTTCTTCAAGTCAAGTGCAAGACAGCAGCAGCACACCTAATGATAAAAACAGAGCCCTTAGCAGTCCTGCAGTGCTTCTATTCAGTGCTGGTGAGAGGATGAAGTGACAGCAATTGGGAAGCAGCATGGGCTGCAAAGTCAGTAGCGTGCCCCTGCTGCTCAGCCCTGCCTTGTCTGGTCCATCACATGTGGCTGGGACAGCCTTCCTGCTCTGCCTGCTGTACCCAAGAGGGGGGACCTCTGTCAGAGGGCTGGAGCCAGACAGTTTGGGATGTGAGGTGGTCTGATGGGAAGAAAAGTGCCTGAACCACCCCTTCTCCACTAAAGAAGCTTCAGTGATGTTGCTTCTAGATTCCAAGGAAATGGCAAAATTGCAAGCTGCTTTTTACCTTGCAAGGAAGGTGTGTGATCTGGTACATGAGTTGCCTCTGCTTGCAGAGGTTTAGGTGAGGCTGCAACAAACCACGCTAGTTCTAAGGCCATACTTCAACCCTCACTGAAATTAAGTAGGGTATCCACCTAGAATATATGCAAAAGTTAACAGCAAATCTTATCCCAGGTCTTCTTATATCCTTCAAGTTTCCAGAAATTACAGCAATTAATCCTACACATCCTTTCTATTTTAAGTGTCCTGCTATCCTAGCTGGCTAGTGATGCATTTTTCAGTGTCCAGCTCCAGTAAATAAAGAATACTGCAAAGTTAAATATTTTGTCATAAATGTAGCATGAGGCAGCAGATCAGGTAACCTTTTAGACATTGAGAATAAATCAGCAGTGCTCAGTTAATGTGAATTAAATCCAGTAGGGAACCTGTTAACCTTCCCAGTTATTTCTAAAATAGCTTGTGTGGATGGAATGTGTTTCTCTGGCATAAAAAGATGATTAAGCCACTGCCATGTGATAGTGGGACTGGGTTCATAAAGCAAATACAGTCAAGGAGGATGCCTCAAGGAAATGATCAGCAAATAAAATATGAAGTGATGCCCCTTCCACTAACTTTTGGCTGCTTTCCATCCCAGTCCATTCTCATTGGCTGGCAAGAATTTCCCACCTGAACATAATTCTTGGATCCTAAAATTGTACCCATTCACAAAACCTTGGAATGGGTCAAGTTGTGTAGAGTAGTGATCTATGTGTTTTACAACAGGATATTCTCCAGTCTAAAGCTTGTTCCTTCTTGCTGGTGCCCGGCCTATTGCTGTTCAGTGAATCACATTTTTAAGATTCTGCGTAAGCAGGCTGTCAGCATGAACCTCAGGCCATCTCACTGCTTTCTCTTGTACCGTCTCTTCCTGCAGAGTTCCTTACAGAAAACAAGCCAAAAGCATGAACAAACAGCTGAACCAGAGACCTAGCACTCCAAGTAAGCTCTCACCCATGACAAACTCTTACCTTCTGTTGAGCGCGTAGGGGTGTGCACAGTTCTTAAAATTCATCTTCATAGCCACACTGAAATTACGGGAAGGTAGCCTCGTGCAAAGTTAGCTCTCCATCAGAGAGAAGTCTTTTCCCTTCTAGACCTCTCCGGCATCTTGGAGCTTATACCCTCCCTCTAGTTGGGAAATTGCCACGGCGGGTTATACTTACTAGCCTTATTATTCTCCAAGACTTGCCAGGAAGCTCCAGCACCCCCTCTAGAACTGCTTCCTGGGTATGTATGGTGCAATTTACCTCTCATCTCTGGCTCACTGGCGTGTGACTGTTTGAACAGCCTACTGACCTGGCCTCACCTGCCCACAAGGGAAATGAGACTACCTCTTCCAGTCTGCCCTATGATTTCTTCCTTGGGTGATCTTTTTACCTCACCCTTCTTAGGGGTGAATGTCCTAAAGAGGATTCTGATTTCCTTCGTGTCACTTCTAAACCAAGTAAAGGTACTTTTTCTTCTGGACGAGGAGGATCGTGGCTGTATATCAGGTATAGTCTATGAATGTGAGGTAGTCTTTCCTTCATTCAGATGAATCACCCCAATTAATGAAAATTATCTTAAAGCTGCTTCCTTCACAGGGAACAGTAGAGCAGATTGTATGAGAAGCTTTAGAAAATTAAGCATGAGTGATTTTTCCCTTCCTACAGTGTGGCAATAGTACAGTCAGGTTATTCTAGAAGAAAAAGCATAAATGGGCAAAAGCAAAGATAGATTTTACCTTATATTTGAAAATAACTATTTTGTTTGAATAGTAAGACATCTTTTCTGTGAGTGAAAGGGTTAACTAAGCTTTCATGGCTTTCAGCTCCGTTTCTAGATTTTTTTAGTAGGCTCTTTTGACAGTTATTATTTGACATAGGCTTGATAGTTTTGTGTGTAGATAAATCAGTGGTTTATACCTCATTTGAAACTGTACTGAAACTAGAATATACTCAGCGTTTGACACTGTAAGGTAAATAGACAATATTATGGAAACTCTGCTTTGGACAATCTAGACAATTTCATAGAAGGGAAGAAAAAACTGTTTAAATTTAACTTACATTTAAGTGACAGCTGGGTTCACGAATCATTAGCTTGTTTTATCTTCAAGGCCGATCTCCAAATTAGGCTGTTGATGTATCCATGTAACTGTGAACCTGAGACTATTGTTCTTGTAAGTGTGAGGCACAGAGACCATGCTGTATCATTAATTTGGGGAATTCAGCACAAATAAGGCACAGCACTGTTATTGTGTCACAGAAGGATATTTTTCCCAGGGTGTATATTGGACTGCCCTGATAGTTATTGAAACATCTCAATTGTGCAAGCCCATTTATTTATTTACCTTTCCAAAAGCTTCTGGAAATTTTCTGCTTTTCTTTTTTTTTATGGGGATTAGGGTTTCTTTTAAGCCTTCTTCTTTATAACTCCTGTTTGTTTTTATTCCTAGTAAGTGTAAATGGCAGTGTTCAGCAAGAGAGGATTTTCACTAACTTCTGCAAAACAAGGATAAGAATGAGTTTCTGTGGGAGATCCTTCATACTTTTTTCTTCTTTTTAATTTTCTAAGTAATTCTGTTTAAATAGCTAAGATTTGGCAGTGTGTCCCCATTTGACCCCCCAAGGGCTGAAATCAATCCAGACTGAGGAATGGGAGTCAGACAAGAAGCCTTGCTATAGGTTTTTTTAGTTGAACCTGGAAAGACTTTCCTTCTCTCTATTGCTTATAGAGGAAGACTGCGGAGATTTCATCTTCCTGGCCTTTTGCTTGATTTCTGATGCCACCCCCTTCTCTTGATGAGCCTTGAGAAACCCCAGATACTGCATAAACTCATTGTGGACTCACATTGGCTCTCACAGGGCTTGTCTACGTGGAGGCACTCAAAAGGGTGAATGCAGAGGAGCCAGAATTGGGACTGGAGTGAGTGCCTTTCCAGGAGAACACTGAGAAGAGTAAGAAGTTTCACTGCACAACGTCTTTGTTTATTTTTGCATGTTGCAGTATGGGTCTGGCCTTGTGCAGTGGGCTTGGTTTAAGTTTATGTTTTCCAGTGCAGTCGAAACAGGCTGCTGCTTAAAGGCAAGTTGCACAGTGAAATGACCCCTTTTTTCATAGATATCTGTGGAGTAACATGACTGGCTGCTTTTCATGGAAAAGGCAAGTAAGCAACTTAAACTAATTAAAAATTATCATTAGATCAGAGCTGGAGGCTCTGCTAATTCAAAAGAGAAGGAATCAAGTGCTTTATTGTTAAGAGAGTGCAAGCAAACTAAACAGAAGTAAAAATCTGAGGGGACTCCTGGCTCTCCTGGGAAATAGCAGGTTTGCCTGAAACTGTAGTGTTCTGTATGAAGGAGTGGTGAGTAGGGATAAAGAGTGGGAAAGTGAGTTAGGGAGGGGTGGAGGAGGAAAGGAGTGTATTGCTTCTGGCAGAGAAGCCTAATTAGCTTTGGGAAGGAGGGAGTCTTAAAAGATAGAGCTGACTTGGTGAAGATAAAATAGGTTGGGCCAGTCTGAAAAAATGGATGAAAATGAATGCTGACAAGCTAACACTGCTCTGCTGCTGGCTCAGTAACACCCCACTGAGGATGGTGGGAAAGGACTGGTCTGTCAGGATAATAGAAAAAAAAGAAAATCTTCTGTTTTGTCATAGAAAAACTATAAAGGGGCCAGATGTGAGGTCAGACTCCTGGGATCCACATCTCCACTCCAGTTTTAGCACATGAGCCACAGCGAGCTTTAGAGGCTTTAAGTTCATCCCAGTGCTCCTGCCTAAGCTCCCATGCACTTGATCCCTCTGTCATTGATGAGTTAGCATCTGTCTGATACTTGTCATCTGTCATTGCATCTGCTGCTTCCTGCTTTAGGTATCACTTAATTCTGCTGGGTTCAAATATTTAGCTCAGAGAGCCTTACCTTGATCTCATATCTTCCTAATTTGATAAATTTCTGTTTCTCTTTAGCAAATGTTTCCACGTTTCTATGCAGTTTTCTGTCTCTATGAACCTGTTTTCCTATTCAAGCAAAGATGACTTGATGCTTCCATCTGTTTGACTCTCAAAACACAATTTCTTATGGTGTTACTAAAACTCTGCAGCAAATGTGCTGCAGAAAATGAGCATCTTTGACTGCTCTGAGTTATTGTTGTTATGTGTTTAACAAGAAGTTGTAATTCTAGCATGAAATGTGTATCTACTGTATGGCTTTCTCTATAGGGATAATATCTTTAAGAGGTGTAATTGATTATTGTTTCTCTAACAGATTACAACTGAAGGGGAATAAGCTTTAGAATAATGGTTTTTGTCCCTAGACTTCAAAAATCATTCAATTCAGCTTTTTTGCCTGGATCTCACGATCTTTGAAACACTTGCGAAGTCTTCACAAGAAACTTTATTGTCAAAGTTAAAGAGTAACAAAATAGAATGGTGCTATAAATTACATAGTCTGCATTCTTGCTTTATGCATAAGCTTTGTAATTTTCTTATAACTAACATACAGTCTTGAGATGATGTTGATGATGTCATTACTGGTACTTTTTTCATACTTAACATGTGATTTTATTTTGGCCCGGCTGATGGAAGGTAACAATCTTTTTTGATGGAAGGTAACAATCTTTTTTGACCTACTGTAGGGCCACACAAATCAAGACTTACTCCTGGGACAATGCACAAGTGATTCTGGTTGGAAACAAATGTGACATGGAGGATGAAAGAATTGTTCCTGTGGAGAAGGGGAAACATCTGGCAGATCAGCTAGGTACATGTCACAGCTTTTCTTTCTACTCTTTTCCCGCTGGTATCACAACTAAGCAGCATAATATATGCTAGGTCCGTATTTTACTTGCTTAGTGCTGAATACTACCTTCTTGTGGTGTTGCTGTATCTCTAAAGCAAATACCTAAGGATGTAAGGAAGATAAAGTTTGTCTGGAGAGAACAGCTTCTATTAGCTCGGTGGAATAAAAGGAGAAAAAGTTTTCATAAACACAATTCTGTTTCCAGTTCTTTAAGTACCATATAGTCATTTTCAGAATGCAAATGTTGCTTTTTGTAGAAGATGTTGTTTTTGCAACTAAACAATGAAAAAAGTTTATACATCAGAACTGTGGAGTTGAGTAAAATACATTTTTAAAATACACCAGGTTTCTCTATCCAGGTAGGGAAATGACATTATGTTATTGATATGGGATAGAAAAAGAAAAACAGTTCTGTTGAGAGGAAGCTGGGATTGTAATGAAAATTTTAGAATGGTCTTTTTTTTTTTTTTTTTGTTATATATTACAGCATATATGATCTTTTTAATAAGGAATCAGGGCTTCTATGTTAAGATTTAACTGTTGTCATCTTTTAAATAATTCATAGTGGCAATTAAATCCTGTTAAAATTTAATTCAGTTAACAGTGGAGACCCTAACAGTCGAGACACAAGCTAAACAAATGTTTACAGTGAGAGTAGAGATTCTTACCAGACCCAGAGGAATCACCATCATCCTAATTTATAAAATCCCATGTTGTCTTAAATTCTTAAAGCAGTAAATGCAGGGTGCATAATATATAGTTAAACTGGAGGTACTGGACTTCCAGTACATGCTGCACACATAGTTTAAGGTGTGACCTGTCTTGCTCAGATTGCCAATTATGGTTAAATCTTAGATAATGAGTATTTATTAATCGGGGATTTTGTTACTGTTATGTTGTTTTGTTTGTTTTAATGAAGGGAAGGTATAGAAACCCTGTTCACAGATGTGTATAAAGTATGACTTTGTGATAGGGACCTGTGTGATATGAACAAAAAGATGGTCACTGGTTTGAAGAGTTGAGAAAAATCAGATTATTTTTTCATATTTCATGTGGAAAAAAAAAAAGAAAAAAAGCATGTTTGCAAAGGCCTGGAAGATTAGAGCCTTCAGGTGTAAATTCTACATATGTTTAGCACAAAGGGGTCCCATTCATGACTGGAGACTTGAGGCACTGCCATCATAAACAAATAATGAGCAAATATCAAACTAAACCCCCAAATTTCCCATAAACATTATTATTATTGTAATAATAATTTTTTACATGTAGGACTAGCAAAGCAAACAGAGACATGGGTAGTTTGCGAAATTAGTTATGGGCTCTTTTTTACCCATCAGCATTTAATTTGCTTTTGAGAATATGAATAAATTTGGTTCCTGGCTTGCAGACTCTCAAAACCATTGTGTGCCCACAGATTTTCCAAGCGTAATTAAACTGTTAGTAGTTGTTCTGGACAAATTTTCAATGTAACAGCAAATAGAGAGTTTTACTGGAACTCCCACTCCTATTTGGACTTCTAATGTTTTTTCTCCCCCCAAAATTCATCTATTTTTTTTTTTAAATACAAACTTGGCATCTAAAATCTGAATCCTTTATGTATGGGACACTTCAAAACACACAGGCACAGAGTGTTACCATAGCAACTGCATCAGTAGGAAACTGTTGTGCTGAAGAATCCCCAGGTCTGCTCCTGACCTGTCCTCGTGCTTGTCCAACTCACCCTGGAGAAGCATCCCCCAGTGTAGAGCAAAACAAAAGCTAGCCGTGCCTTTGGAAAGCACTGTCTCAGTCCCTCTGTTCTGTAGCCTCCCAAAATACTAAATGCTCTTTTAAAAAGGGCTGAAAAATAGATCTGGTTTTATCAGTCAGTTTTTCCTTATATAAACTGTGCTAATGTGTACACCATTATCTGAAATTACTTTGTGTTAGGTGGCAGGAATCTCTTTAATTGACTATTGACTGCTTAAACTGCTACTTTTCATTATAGTGATTCACCTAAAGGTTATCTTTCAGCGTGTTTAAGTTTGTATAGTGACAGTAACATCATTGAAATAATTTCCTAATCAGATTAAGAAATGGTTATTAGCCTGAACGTGAACTAAACTAAAACAGATTCAGCCACAGCAGAAGCTAAAGCAATGTTGGACTGACAAAACCCGAGTTCAGTTCTCTGATTTCTTGTGCCTTTTATATACATGTTTAATCATCACCAAAGACAACAAGTGGGGCAGATAGAACCCTCATCTGATGCAGGACAGCCATCCTTATTTAGTAACGAGGCAAATATCTCCACCATCACTTTACCCCTTGTCCCATGGTTTTTAAAAAGTGTTAGAATGGGGTATATACCTACTTGTTATCTCACACATCAAGGTGACTCAGTCAACCAGCAGTGGCAGACTAATCAGTAAAGATGCCTTATCTTTCTCTTTGTGGCAGAATCAAAGAGAAATGATGCAATGCCCAATATCCCCAAAACGAAGCACAACAGAATGTAGCTTATCGCAAAATAAATTCTCTGTGGTGCTTGAGCTCTTGCTGTTGGCAATATAATAACCTGGTAGAACAGAAGCAACAGCCATTGTAAGTGATGGTTGGCCTTTGAGGCCCCTGGGGTTAGAAAGATAAAGAAATGCTTCACAGTTCAGCGTATTTCTGCTGGCTGAGGCAGGGTTCAGGCTCATCTGTGAGAAGGCTGGTTCTTGTGTAGTGCGGCGTGTCAGCAGGAGGCAGCAGGAATAGTTGTCTGTGCGCCATTCTCACCTTGGCGTGACTCCAGCCTTGCTGTTTTTTTTGGGGTTTTTTCATCAGAAAGGGTCAGTGTTTGTGAATCCGTACTCATCACTGCAGCTAGTAGCTGGTGACTGGACACAGAAATTACTTTGTAGGAGGCACTCAGCGTTATTTGTAATTCCACAGTGCTGAACGACCCTTGTCAGGATGGGTGCTCTGTGCTGTAAAAGTATTAATTGCCCTGAAGAGCCTTCTGCCTAGCCAGACAAAGAACGGCAAAACCAGGACCAAAATCATGGAACATTTTACTCACAATTGCAGAAGTTGGTCAGCAGAAGGAATACAACCACAATCTTGCTTCTCTTTCTGGTCTCTGCAGTGGTAGTTCATAGAGTAAGCCTGCCCCTGTCCCGCAGGGTTGTGTGGAGCCCGGGAAGGCCCCTCCCTACATTACCAGTTAGTGACATTGGAAGAATTCGACTTCCTTGTCCTGAGTTTATTCAGATCTGTATCATCTGCAGATGTGTTTACCAGGGCTATGGTAGGGATCCATTTAAGCCTTTGACTCTTATTGATGCTTGATAAATTTTAGAAGTATTTCTGCTAAGTATTCTGAGATTGTGGGCATCAAATGAGCCTAAGAATTGTCTGTCTTGTTCTCTTCAGGTGAATTCTGAAAAAAAAAATGGTTAGTATTTTAAAAACTGTCTCCCTTATCGTCTCTATCAAATTTTTCACTTTTTCTCACAGGTTTTGATTATTTTGAAGCTAGTGCCAAAGAAAACATCAATGTAAGGCAGGTGTTTGAGCGTCTGGTGGATATAATCTGTGAAAAGATGTCGGAGAGTATAGAAACAGACACTTCCAGGGGCACTTCTGGAAGGAGCATGCGACTCACAGACAATCCACCCCCTTCGCAGCAGAACTGCTCGTGTTAGTGGCCTTTCTTGCTGAGAAATGTCCTTCTCCTCTCCTGACTAAATTTTATCTTTTCATTTGTGGTTGTGCATTATCATGTAGTCCAAAGGCAGAAGTCTCTGTTGTAGGAAACTGGTATGTTTGTTTAATGTGTTAGAGTGTTAATATTATATTTCTTCATCCAATAATTTAAAAAGCAAAAATCTGAATAAATATTGTAAGTGCACCTTGTGTTAATGTGCGTTACACTGAAGAAAAAGAATAGTATAGTGTTGCAAATGTTATTTCCACAGAGAATGTTGCATTTTTAATTATAAATTCCTCCACTGCAGAAAAAGGTGTTTTGTCAAGAACAGCAGGAAACATAAAAACCAATTAGAAGGGACCAGGTCTAAAAGAAAATGAGGGAAGAAAATCTCCTGTAAAGCAAGAATATGTTTGGTTTGTTGTTTTTTTTTTTTCTTTTTGCATTTTAAAAAAAAAGAAAATCAATCCCCAGATATTTTGAGCATTATGGTTGCTGTCCTTTAGACATGGACCTCAGTTTTTCTGTAGGATGGTGAAGAAAACTGTGCATTTCTGTCTGACAGTTTGAGGTCCTTCAGAGAGCAAAGAGGAGCAGGGGGTGGATTTCATGTCAAGGCTCTAAATAGAGGAAAAGCACATGGAGGAATCAAAGCTGCCAGGCAGGGGAGGCGGAGGAGAAGGCCTTGCAGCCATACCTGCCTTTCCCTCTGCTCTTGGCTGGTGCTGGGTGAAGGAGCAAGAGCCCTTCCAGGGGCTGCCCTTGCCCGCAGACTTCTCCAGAGTCACCCGTAATGGCCTGTGGAGTGCTGGGAGTGTCATGGTGTTTGGCACCTTCCTGTCCCTAATTGTTTGTTTCTCGAAGCCCAAGAGCTGAATGTCCTGCAGCTCTTCTCCTGTATCCTGTAGTTTTACCTCTCCAGGTTTGGATCTGCTCTGATCGACTGCTTGATGGTGGATTTGTGGCAAGACGGCGGAAAGGGGGAATGGGCTGCTGCACGCTTAGCTGGAGGCAAAATCTGACATGTAAGACTTGGAACAGCACTGTCTCAGAAAGATAAAAATGCCAGGAGCCAAAGTGTGCGTGTTGGCAAATATTAGTGCCAATATTATTAGATTTTCTTTCAGCATTTTGTTGTTGATTTTTTTTTTAATTCTGTGCTGGATGGGTGCATGTGTAGGGATAATTTTTATGGTCTCAGATTCAGCCTTAAAAAAGGAAGACTGATAAAACATAACTGCAAATGAAAAATGGCAAAGATGTCCTGTTAAGAGTTATTCTGTCCATGTTTTGTTGCATCATTCTTTGAAGGGAAGAACAATTTTTAATACTTAACATCTAAAATGTTATTATACTGCTAACATCTCTAAAATGACAAAATTTCTATGTCTGTGTGTAGAACTCTGTGCATTAAGCCACATGCAGAGCTTGTGTTTCTCTGAAATATATGGAAGAACTGCTTTTGCCAATCTGTGAAATTACCTACACCGTATGCCTTTGTGATCACACACCCAGCTCCAAACAGTGATTGCAAATTGTGTCTGTAAATGTAAATTCGGTGGAAACGGAGAGTTTGCTGTCAAGGTGAAAATTCTGAAAAGTTTTATGGCTTTACTTTAGGCCTATGAACTCATCTGAGACTTTATAGTGTCAGAAACTGGAGTCGAGTATCTGCCCACTGCACTGTAATTTGTTGGCTCATGACACTAGCGAATGCTTCTGTAATTTTGTTCTGTTTTGTCTCAAAGTGTAGTAGTTCTAAAAACAAACAAAAAAAAAAAGAAAAAAAAAAACAAAAAAGAAAAAAAAACAAAAACAAACAAACAACCACCAAACCCCACAGTATTCTGGAGAAAACTGCAACTATATTGACATAGTTTGAACTCATTGTGCTAAAGGCTTGATCCCTTTGTATGTTGCTTTCAGAAATCTTTCCTGTGACAAATTTTGAGTGTGTGTGATCTAGTACTGAAAGTGCAATTTGTGCAGTGCTAGGAATGTGGTTATTGTATCTAAACCCCTGAAACTGCAAAATAAAGAGAAATGTCATCACCGGGTGTGGCCAGAGAGCTTGTGTGAGCTGCCTTACCAGCATATTGGGCAATGGAGTGCAGGTATAAAGGTCTCTTTTTTTTTTTTTTTTTAATACTTTTCAAATACTCTACTGATCTTTTTTGACAGGGTGATGATCCTTGAGCCTAGCAATCAGGAATCGCTATGGGAACTTAAAACAGAGCAAAGAAAAGGATTATTTGGGCAGTAAATGTGTGGTGCAGTGTTCTAATTGTAGCAGAAGCAGATTTTAGGGCAAATTGTGTAACTAGCAAAAAGAAGTAAAAAATTCCACAGCAGGGAGCAATGATTTTGAGCTGTGCAGGTATAATGGAGTACCTCAGTGCAAATAATGATTTTTCAGCTCAGCAACTCAATAGTAAAAGAAAATTGATTCAGCAGAAGTGGAATTTCAATTTTTTTTTTTTACTTACTTTTTTTTCCTAGCAAAAAAGACCTTTCCCTTTTCTACCCAATACATAGTTGTGTTCCATCATGTTTCTAGTCACGTCAGATGTTTTTATTTTTTGGGGTTTTTTTTTAAGAAGAATACAAGTACCTTCCAGGCCTTTCAAGCTAGGATGGGCAGAATTGTTTGTTACAGGACAAGCCAGCAAGTAGCTACATGGCAGTATAGTCCAAGGAAGCGGAAAAGACAGTTACAAATTCTACCCTGCCCTATATTAAGTACATGCAGAAACCTAGTATTTGGTGCAGAAGTCCTGCAGAGCTGGTTTCAAATAAGGAATCAAATCATCACAGGCAACTGACAAACTTCTCCATTAATATATATTTTTACATCACAGATTTGTATTAAAAGCTGTGAATGAATATGGAGAAAGCCTTAGGTAGTATGCAGCTGGTTTCAGCATCACTAGTGAGTCAACCAATAGTAACTGTTACTTGTATTAACTGGTAATGTTACTGTAAATTCGGTCTCAAAAGAACCCCCTAAGACTTAGTTTGAAGTTTCAGAAGGCAGGCATTCTTTATTGCCCCGCTGGATGCAGGGGGGATCATTCCACCTAACATACATGCACTAAAACAAAAGTTCATCCTTTATATACCCTTAAAGACATGAATATTCATACATTTTCCAAGAATTCTCCACCTTTCTGCCTACCTATTACACTTACATAATGCTGGCGTTGCAAAACTACACTATGCATGTGCAGGGGTCTTGGGTGGTCATCAGTGGTTGTTTGGGGAGTTAGACCCCTACTCCTTTTTCTCTTTTATGGTCATGAGTCTTTTTTAGGACAATTTCTTCTCTTTAGATATTTCTCAACTCTGTTGTCCAGCCAAGCTGTTCTCTATCTGCCCCATGTGAGCATTTTTGCCAGGATGTATCTGTTCTCAAGGTTAGGATATTTTATCTGTACATTTTAATCACTTGGGCCTTGTTAAATAGAAAGATAAACATTGTTCAGTAAAAAAAATTCTTGATATTTAAGGTATGATTCACTATAAGATGTAATCACTAACTGTGATTACAAATTAAACTAAATTATACTGAGTTGTACTAAGTTGTATTAAGTTGTAGCGGCCAAAATAATTCACATATCACAATGTTCTTTCTCTCTGCAGGGCAGGGGCAGTTTATTTTCTTTAAATTCTTTTTTTCTTCTTACATTAATACATACACATACAATAATACATACTTATACTCTCATTCAAGCTCTTACTTCATAATAAGCAAATCAGCAACTAGACAGTCATCAACCCTCTTTCCTACAAACAGTTCCATCCACCTTAGCTCAGCCTAGCAGTTTCCTATCTCTCTTCCAAGGCCTGTTTCTCCTTCTCTGGGCCTATGCAGAGCTGACTTAGCTTTCTTCCAAGACCTGCTTCTCCTCAAAGCCTTGCTGCTTCTCGGGGCCTGTGCAGAGCAGAGCTGGTGCTTCTCTGAGCCTGTGCAAAACAGCTCCTGAGTGGAGCTGACCAGCTGATGTCAATTCAGCTCTTTAAGTATTGGGTCTCCCACAGCTGTGCATGGCTGACAGGCCAACGCCAACCTGCCTCTTAATCATTTATCAGTAACACATTGAATTTCCCACAGCTGCGCAGAGCTGACACTCCCAGAGTTACAGGCTTCAACTTGCAGGCACCAGCTGCTGGCAGGCATCAGATAGCAGACATCAGTAAGAGGTAATGGCAGAATGCGAGACAGAAATCTGTCAGGGGAAGGGAAATAACAGACCGAAGACAAAACCAAAATTATTGATGCACTCTTGTACAGAGCCTTCTATTTGACTGGCCTAGGATAGTAGTACTGATAAACCAGTATGGTTACAAGATAAAAAAGGGGTACTAGAATGTGAAAGGAAAGTTGTAACTGCTCTTCACAAGCTTCTCTCCATGACAATACAGCACTGCCTGTGCAGTTCTCAAGTCAGAGGGGAAGCTCTGAGTTAGAGATGGGTGTTGGCTTCCATCTTGTGGAGAAATAAAGCACTAAACTACCAGGCAGACATCCAGTCTCAGTGATCATCCCTGTATCTCAAGACAGCCCTCCCTCATGTGTGTTAGCCTCTGATGCCTTGACTTAGCTCTCATCATCTCTTTCGTGGTCAACGTACCTACACACATGCCCAAAATAACAGCGTTGGTATTACAGGAGTAGCAGAAAACTGATGTGGAACAATGCAAAATGTATATGATAAACACCACAGCAAGCTTCCTAACAGCTCTCAAACCATAAGAAAGGATCTTGGCATTGTATGCCATGGGGAAATGCCAGCTTCAGAGTTTTAGGACAAGAGAAAAAACAGCATTCCTGTCGTCAAGACTTGAAATTGCCACGTCTGAACTACACCTGCATAGGGGGAAAAAGTTTACTCACAAATTGGAAAATGCTGAGACCTACTGAACTGCCATATCAAGGGTAAACACTGTGTTTTCTGCTAAATAGTCACAGGTACAAACTTTAAGGTATTAGGGATACCAGCATGGGAAGAAAAATATTTTTTAAAATCACCAGTCACCGGATCTCTCAAAAGCCCCACAGTAGTGCTGGTTGAAATTACATTGCAAATTTAAGTCTAGTTCGCTCAAGTGCTGACAAATACCGGCTGGAAGCTAGTTTTGCTCGCAAATCAGCAGTGCGGCCAGGCGGTCTGAACCCTAGGAACAGTCATTTCTCTGAACTGATTCAACGTGGTTAGCGTTTGGCTTTGCCAGCGACCGCTGAGGGAGCCCGATGACTACGCTCCCGTTTCTTCGTGCCAAGTTTCGGTGCCGAGTTCAGCGCCGGTCCCGGAGCTACGCCCGGCCGTCGGCGATGCTGGCGGGGCAGCCGGCCTTACAGCCGCCCCTCGGCCACGCTGGCGGGGACAGCCGGCCTTACAGCCGCCCCTCGGCCACGCTGGCGGGGCAGCCGGCCCTCGGCCACGCTGG